CTAAACGGCACCATTCTAGTGGAGCATTTAGAGCCTCTAAAGTCTACAGATCTTTAAGAGTGTAACGGGTAGTTACCTGCCGTGTACTATTAAATTTTTGACTCTTTAAAATGAGGTGAGTTTCTCACAAAAAATTATGCCGTCGGCTAGCTCAATATATCAAAGGTTTTTTTACTTTTTTATTATTTAATTTTTTTAAATTTAATTTATCAAATTGTCTTGGATAATTTATTTTTCTTCTGTATGTTTGAAAAATGGAACACAAAATGAAACACAAAGACACAATTTAATTTGTAAAAATTTACATGTATAGAAAATCGTTTTCACTTACATCCCTCCATATTAATAGCAAAACACCGATGTCAAAGCTACTAAAATTGCACTAAAATAAATAATTCAGTGACCACTCTTTTAGCTATTTAAAATCTCTCTTGACCATAAAATACAAATGATTGCTACCCCTTCTTTACAAACAGCTCACAATATTCAAAGCTGCACACAAATTATATATTCAGTTCGATTCTGTTTCCTGGGTCGGTTAAAATGCGATGACCGGTTCCTTGTTTTTCTTACTACTTATCCAAAAGTCAAACATTACCTTTTCAACGCCGTTAAAGGAATCGGTTTATTTTCAATATAAAAGTTAAAAAAAAAGGGTTACCTTATTTTTAAAGTACATTAACGGAGATGATCCCGGTTAATCTAACTGGAAATGGGTCGACGAGAAAAAATCGATGCAAAATCCTGGACTTCTTAAATGAATACGGCTCTGACTTTGGAATTCGTACGCGATTACACAAAATTACGTAACCCGTCAGTAAGCGATAATGTCAATATCTGCATACAAATAACGACAAACGTGCGACTCAAGTTATGAAGTTTACTTTAGTCCACTCGTCAAGTTTTCAGGGCCATTTCTTCCTTGCATTGATTCACTTAACCGTTTCGGGTTGTTTAACGTGAACGCTGTCGTGTCTTAACGCGCATTGCCTTGTTGCTTAATTTGACTTTTTCTCTTTCGCTTCGACGACCATGGCCGCTACTTCAATTTTTTGAAACTACTCCTGCTACACCAATAGAGCTTATTTCTCTAGCCAATAAAATACTTACAAATCCAAATTGACGTATATTGGCTGTGTTACTGTATGCAATGCTAGCAAGCTCAAATTACACAATTTAGTTTCCTTTTCCTTTTTAAATTTTTCTCAGGGCGCAATAACTTGGTTCCGACAAAACAAAAAAATCCTAACATTGAATTAAAACTTGAAAGAGTCGAAGGTTTGAAATTAGAAAAATCTGACAGGAAAGATACAATTCTGGCTGTATTTCAAATTGGTATTGAAATTGGCATATAATGAACAAGTTAAAAAGTAATCGTAAACGATTTACAAAAAGCGCATTTCCACTTGCAATCATTTCCCATTTGTAAGATGCAACTTCTGTTAAAATCGTAAAAATCCGGCCACAAATATAAAAGATAGCGTTGCATATGTGCAATCCATTTTTGACGTGCTACTTCAATTTCAGTGTATAAGAAGAATTTCATTTCAATGCTTTTCTAAATGAGAAAGTTGCAACTGCGCATGCGCAAATTTAAAGTTAGATTTTCCTTTGTTCCAAGCGTCTATGTATCAAATTTCGTTAAAACTCTTCCATAAATAACAAAGTTGGCACTGCGCATGCGCAAAACCAAATTTTGAAACTGTTCCAAGTTCCTATGTATCAAATTTCGTTTAAATACTTTTATATATAAAACAGTTTGCAATTCGGTTAATAAATGGTCGAAATGCTAAAAGGACACTGTGAATTTTGAATCGATTCGACTCAACTTTTGGCATTGCGTATTATATGGCTTAGCCCATATTGAATTTTATGCAATTCAGTTCATAACTAACGGAGATGTCAAAGCGATCGGATATTTCTAAACAAAGTTATCGTTCACACGGACAGATGGATGGACATACAGACAAAGGAACAGACGGACAGATCTGTTGACGACAGACAGGAATACAAGATTATAAACGATCTCTAGGATCGTTAATAAACGGCAAAAGTGTAAAATTATGGAACATGTAAAAAAAATTTTTTTGTTTTTTTAGCAATAAACGCAGAAAAAATTCCTTCCTTGGTGCAAACCTCGACACCATAACGAACCAAAAGCGAAAAAAGTAGAACAATAGCTCTTGGTAGCGTCTCAACGAACGAGCGGACGGACGGACGGACAAAGTGGCCACAGTAGCGCGTTTTTTTTTTATTTTTGTGGAAATGCGCTAAAAATGACTTTTTATTGTAACACCATAAAAAAATGAAATACAAGAAAATCCTATAAGAAAGAATGTAAGACTAACAGTGCCTTTTGAATTATAGGACAGACTCCGTTTTCAAAACGGTCGATCTAAAAACAATTTAACAGATCTTAAAAAGTACTCACAATTCTATTGATAATAATCCAAGGAAATGCTTAGGACAAAAAAAATATGCGATGTTCGGCGAAACAAACACTATAACACAAATCTGACAGATTCTTCTGAAAAACAAAAACAACTCACTTTTAAAACACCACAAATGGCTCGAAGACAAAAAATATTTAACTTTGCGACTGCTCGGATAGTACGACTTTTTTGCATTTCGCCAATTATTTCCGTTATTCTGGATAAACTTGTATCCACTTTACTTTGTTAACATGAAGACGGCTGTATTTTTTATAAGAGTCTTCCAACCTTTTACCGATCCTAAAATTCTTTCCTCTCTTAGGAGGTTTTGCGAGTGTTGAGAGCACTTAAGAACCTTTAAAAATCTACCAAGGATCTTGAAGGGCATGGCCTTTAAGGATAATATTGGAGAGTCTACAAAACTTTTCAGAAGTCCCCGGAGGCTCTTAGGACCTTTACCAGGACATTTACTTTTTAAGATTGAGAGCCTTACGAATTTTGTTCTTATAAGAAACTTTAAAGCGCACATCTTTAGGGCCCTTTAAAATACTAAAGCACTTTTATAATGCACCCCTTAATCTGTAATCTCAAACGTTTTTAAAGGGTCTCTAGAGCCCTCTAAATTTCATATAGTTTATACGAGGCTTTTAAGAAGCCTTTAAAAATTACTAAAGAGTACTTAAGAGTATTCCTGAACCTTTTAGTGTATAGTGGGTTGGGTTGCCAGAGCAGCCTTGGCTCAAACTCACTTAAAGATAAAGCCCAAAAATAATAATAAATAAAAATGTCTTTAGACTGTAGAGTGCTCTATGTTCCAGAAAACTCACAGGTTTTCATGAGTATTCAAATCTTTTGAAACCCCTAGAAGATTTTACCTTCAACCTGATTATTTTGGCACACCTCAAATCTAAAATCTTTTATCACAAGCGGAACAAATCTACTTCCGGTCAAGTAGACGTACTGGTACACGAACAAAGTGGACAGACTAGCCACTCGTAGATCAAATTTTTGAGAGTTCTCTAAAACTATTACTTTTAATGTCTATACTCGTACTTTGCAAGCTCATACTTGGAATTTAAAGACCCGTGAACGATGAGCTCATTATTCACTGTATTAAATTATTTTCTAGAAAACGCATAAAAGAAGAAGATATTATTATTTAATTAGTAGACAATTACGGCATGCTTTTCTAGCTAATTATTTTGTCTCATTCTAGGCCTTCCGTAAAATTTAAATAAAAATATTACAGCTAAACGAAGGTAATTCGCGAGCCATGACACACTGAAGCATTTTAATCGAGATTTTCAGGAAAAAAAAAAGTACTTTGTCCGAACTTCTGTGTGTCTTCATCCTAGGGCATGTTCTTCAGCTATTACATAGGTTACATTAGGTTACTTAAATGTCAACGGATAAACCTGGTTTCTTAATTGGGGCAGCGGCGTTCTCTCTCTCTTAAACCTCTATTAACGCTTCTACCCATCTCTTGATATCTCATCCGTAGCGAGAAAAAATGATGGAAAATAAAGAAAGAGAGAGAGACAGATATGAAAAGAATTAAGCGGACAATGAAAAAATATAAACAGAAAGAGTATGAAAGCAGAGCAGAGGATATGTGGCAATACAAAGTATGAAGAAAATATACTCGACTGTTGAAAGAATAAGGAAAATGGAGTGGGGCAACGGTAAAAATAGGCTGTAACGGGAGCCCGTTAACACATTGTCTTTGATTCAATTTTTTAAACTTTTTTTGGTTCTGTTACATGGGCCTTGAATACGGTCTTGACTTTTTAAATATGTTTGAACACTGAAGGGACTTGTGCGTCGTGGAATGCTGCGTGATTGTCTCAGGTTATCGGAAATTTTTGTGTGTATATTGCAGTCATCGTTATCTGAGTTGCTGCGTCATGTGGAATTCGCAGAATAAACGGAAAATTACTCCACGTGGTGCTGATGCATAGCCATCAATGAATCTGACAAGATGAGTGAAGTTAGTTGATGGGTGAAAAAGCCGACCTGCGTAGCTCAGATGAGTTCACGTTACTAGCTCTAACTTTGGGTACAAGGGTCCTGGGTTCGACTCCCAGGTAAGGCATGTCTGTATGTGTATAGTGGGTTGAGTGGGAAGAGTAGCTAATTAGCTAACACTCCGCCCACTATAAGATAAAGAATAAAATAAATAAACAAAATAAAATTTGCGTCAAAGGAAAAGTAAAGTAGTCAGAAGTAGGTTGTTCCGAGATAACCGTCGGCGCATTCGTGTTGACAGAAGACTAAAGTTAAACCAAACCCCTGTAAATTAGCGCAGGGCGCGTTTTATTTATGAAAAGAGAGTTCACGTTGAACCGTGAGCGAAGTTACGTCACGCTCCTGTAAATTACCCGTGGGGTGTCCTTTATTTGTGAAAAGAAAATTCGCGCTTAAGGTGGGTCCAGACTTGAGGGCACATGACCAGAGCGCGCACACATGCGTGTGTTCTCAAGTTGTGTGCACTCAGCTCATGCGGGAAATGCAATTTCTAAGGGCGCACGCATATGCACTCACATTGCTCAGTTCATGCGTACGTGTCGATGAGATAAGATGTCTACCGATGAAGAAATGGTTATGTTGGCTGCGGCAAGTTTTATTTTTATAAATGAAGAAGAAAAGAAGAAAGAACAGAAAACCAAAAAAAGCCGGCGTTGGTGGGTGACACACATTTTCAAACAAAGGAATCGGTTAGGTGGTACAAAATTATTACGCAGTATGCAGCTGGAAGAAGCGACAGGTCAATTTAAAAACTTTGTGAGGATGTCGGCAGAAGATTTTGAATTACTGCTAAACGAAGTTGGCCCTATAATAGCAAAGCAAGAAACAAAATTTAGAAAAAGCATTACCCCTACGGAACGGCTGGCACTAACGTTACGTTTCCTCGCAACAGGGGATTCGTATACAAGTCTACAGTACCTCTTCAAGATATCTAAGCAAGCAATTTCATGCATAATTCCAGAAGTTTGTGCTGCACTCATTGAGGCTCTCAAAAGTTATGTTCAGGTAAGCAAAAGTAACTTTTTATTAAATTTTAACTTGCACAAAAAATTACAAATTCAGAAAATTTTGTGAAGTATCGGGAAAGTCTACGTACGAAACGTAGGAACCCGCCGAAGATGGGCCTGGTGTTGAATTATAAATTGTAGCAGAACTGCTATCAGAAGAAGGCCCAGGTGCAACATTTGTCGAAAAAGTGTCATATTCNTTGTGCTGCACTCATTGAGGCTCTCAAAAGTTATGTTCAGGTAAGCAAAAGTAACTTTTTATTAAATTTTAACTTGCACAAAAAATTACAAATTCAGAAAATTTTGTGAAGTATCGGGAAAGTCTACGTACGAAACGTAGGAACCCGCCGAAGATGGGCCTGGTGTTGAATTATAAATTGTAGCAGAACTGCTATCAGAAGAAGGCCCAGGTGCAACATTTGTCGAAAAAGTGTCATATTCTCCCATGTCCGCTTTGAAGAGCACATTGTTGATTTCATGCTCGACTATAGCATGGCACCTTTTTGAATATCCTCTTAGCTTATTAGCTACATGTTGGCCATATATAGAAAAGCGATCTTGCAGCGGGTCTTGGTTTTGTTTCGCAAGATAGCGAGTGTGCGTGTCCTGCAAAATTCGAAGAGCTTCTTTAGATAAGGAGTTACTCTCTTCGTGATGTTGTTTTTTTGGTTTTTTCTTGGCCGGGGGTTTAGCATGTTTTGCATTTTCTTTTTCTTGTGTCTCATCTACTTGTACTTCGTCTTCATCTTCCCTGATGACCACCTCACTATCGTCCTCCACCGGAACGGAAGACAGATCCATTTCGCCATTTTCTTCTCCACTACCTTCGGTATCCTGTGAACAATTTTACATTATTAACTTACAATAGTGCGTGTAACCTAGGACAAAAAATGGTATAATAGTATATTTTTGTTTCAGCTGCCTAAAACTGACAACGAGTGGAGGCGTGTTTCTGAAAGATTTGAAAAATCGTGGGGTTTTCCTAATTGTTTAGGAAGCATGGACGGCAAGCACATAGTACTCCAAAGTCCTATAAACAGCGGAAGCGATTACTTTAATTACAAATCGTTTTTCAGCATTGTATTGTTTGCTTTGGTAGATGCTGATTATCAGTTTATGTTCGTTGATGTTGGGTGTCAAGGACGGATATCTGATGGAGGGGTTTTTAAGCATAGCAAACTGCATAAACTTCTTCACACAAATAGTTCGAATTTCCCAGAAGACAAATCCCTGCCAGGAAGGGATAAATTAATTCCCTATGTTATAGTGGGAGATGACGCATTCCCGCTTACAGAGCGTATTATGAAACCTTTTTCTGGTATGTATGAGAAGGGGTCATCCGAAAGAATATTTAATTATCGACTTAGCCGAGCCCGCCGGATAGTAGAAAATGTATTTGGTATACAATCTGCAATATTTCGTGTCTTACGGAAACCTATTTTACTGCAACCAGAAAAGGCAGAACTAGTAGTGCTCACAACAGTTTACCTTCACAACTTTTTGAGGAAATCTGCTTCATCACGAAATATATATACTCCGCCGGGTACATTTGACTCTGAGGTAGAAGGAAAAATAATAGATGGTAGTTGGAGAAAAGCACATGGTGACAACGCTAGCTCCCTCCGGCCTATGCGCAATGTACCTCGCAGACCAACACTTAATGCGTCTTCAATTCGAATTGAATTTTCCGAGTACTTTAAGAGTAATGGAGCCCTACCTTGGCAAGATGAATATGCCTAAAACGTTTGCACTTACCAAATCTTTTTCTGTGTCCAGTGTATCTCGGGGAGCGTCTCGGTCAAGCAAAAAATGCATCCTTTCAAACGCAAACCATTTCGATATGTACACTTCTTGACGTGCTAGAAACAATACATCATATAAATATGTACCTAATAATAAAATGTACTACTTCAGTATTGTTATTTAGCAAACCGCATACCTTTTCCGGTACCAATAGTTTTTTTTCCTTTGCTTTTCTGACTGCGGAAGGAGCCTAGCAGACTATTCATTTTTATTTTCACCGTTTTGGCATCCACATTCATTATTTTGGAGATTTCGTCCCACGCATCATTTTTCTTTGTTTTCGAAAAATAAAATTTATGCTTGGGCTCCCACAACACAGGATACTTTTCGTAGATGTCGATTAGCTCCAAACATTTGTCGTTACTCCATTCCATATTGTTAATTCTAAATAATGAACGTATAATTAGTATAGATAGGTTTATAGTATGTTTGAATTGGATCATATCAACGTGTATTCAAACGTACCTGCTATGATCCGTTGGCTAATGTAAACTAAACAAACTTTTACAACACGAGGCACGCACGTTGAAAATTACTAAACACGTCAATTTCACCGTCCACACTGAATCGCAACGCACGCACGTTTTCTTTTGAGCGGGTCCAAAAAACCGACAGCCGACGGCTCGCATCATGCGCGCGCGAAGCGGCTCGCGAGTCAAAAAACATACGTTGAGAAGATGCGCGCCGACGTCCACATCTGCATATGCGTGCGCGCTCACGTCATATGCGCTCAGATGTGGACCCACCTTTAGATGTCAGGCAGGGCATAACTACTTGCAAAATTAGCGCAGGGTGGTTTTATATATACCCTAATAATCAAGAGCGTGATTCAAAGAAACAATTGAATTATAGAATTTCATGTTGTAATTCTTCCCACATCTGAAGTGGTCGATTGCGCAAACAATATTGAGGAAAATACTCTTTCCAATGAATTTATTACTAGATAACCAAAATGCTCCGGCTTTGCGACTATGTGAGCTGAATCAGATGCGACTATTTTGATATTTTAATTATAGAGAAAATAAACTAAACAAATATAGAAAACGAGCTCCTGGGTATGGCTATAGCATGTGCAAAACCAAATTTTAAACCTGATGTTAGTTAGAGGGAGGCCGTGACGAAATATTTTTAGCTGTCCATTCGTGAAAAAAACATTTTGCTAAGTTGTCATTCAACAGTGATATGGCTGATTTACTGAACCTCTGAAACTGTGAAAAAATGTCAAATAACTTCGAAACTATCTCAGTTAGATATAGCTTCATATTGACAAAATCAGTATGATTGAGGAATTTAAAAATGGAATCAGAAAAGATAGTGCCATTTGAAATAAGAAGGTTCTGATACAACCGGAAGCGCGGCCATCTTGGAAATATGTTTGAATGATTCCTTTTGATTGATTATTCAAAAAAGGTAATGGGCCCCGAAGTAAAATTCCCAACCGTTCCTGAGATATCTCTAATGGTCCACTTAAAAACACCACCCTGTATGTTCTATTAAAAAAAGATCTAGGGAAGGGTGGGCGGAGGAATGTGGGGGAACTATTATTTCTGTAAATTTTAACCACAAATGCAAAATGAACAAGGATTAGAGATGCAGATTACGCCTGTTGGATAGGCAACTAAAGTAACTTCTCTTTATTTTCAGATACGGGCGATTGAACGTTTTACGCTGGTTACTTTGGGAGGCTGGTAACCGCGCGGACATGCCGGCGTTAGAAAGGGCATCGAACAGCACTTTGGCACTGCATTACGCCGCTGCCAGGGGATGTCTCGACTGCGTCCGATTATTGGTGGATTCTACACCAGATCTAAAGTAAGTAAACCACGGTGGTATAAACGTATGTTGGCAATACAGAAATGTGTACACATGAACTGTGTGTGTTGCCTAACCACTTGCTCAAATAGTGAGAAATCCTTATTCTTACTCCTGTCATACATCCATGGTAGGCAACCAAACGTACTGAAGTGAACGTCGAAGTCTTGGAAAAGCTTTGTGTATGCAAAGTTGCCTACCCTTCTGACATAATCTTCGTGAAATTTAGTTTATTCACCGCTTAGAGAAGCGATTAATTAATTAAATCCAAGTAAAAAATGTTTAACGCAACGAAGAAAGTGCCACGAGCATCTCGCGCGTGCGATTATTTTAATTAAATTCTTCTCGAAACAAAATCGGATAAAAATTTAAATTAACGCGGTTTAACATAATGAAATTAATTCTTATTATTTAAGGCTTTCACCTGTTTAGTTGTTAAGCGGTGTCTTTTTTATGAGGAAGCGTGCAATTGGCGAGTGTTGAGGAAATTGCGTAACCGTTATTCAATTCTTATTTTCTCCAATCGATTGTTTTCAATTTCGATTAGGACGCAATCGTTGGGTGCTTAAATACCTGTGCAAATTCCAATCTGAACAATTTTATCATGTAATTGAACCGTGTAGGATAAGCAGATCAGAGCCCCAGCATAATGCCTAGTTTGCATGGGCTTAGTACTTGTTATTGCTCGTAGTACTAATCTGCTTAGTGCGTTTTACAGCAATTCTCTAAGTGTGTCATGTACCTATATATGTAAATTAAATATGATTTATTCGAATATTAAGGATAATTCCGATGTACTCGTATTTATCTTATGGTCATAGTTTCTCTTATGCCCAAACAACGATCAACATTACAACTTCATAAAGCAAAAGCAGTTGATCGACAATCTAACCGAATTCACTGCATATCGTAAGAGGCAACTAAACAAGTCAGCCGCAAACCTAGGACTGAGTTTGGGAGAGCGAAGTATCTTAGTGCAACGCAGTCATCAGGAAGTTACTTTACGTTGAGTTGATTATATATATTGATTGGTGTAAAATTAGTTTATTCGTGGAAACGGTTTGCGTCAATCAAGTGGCAAGTTGGTTGTGCGGATAGAAACTTCAGGCAATTCGCTTTGAGCCGCGAGTAAAGTTAAGTTAACCACCTGTAAATTACCCTGTGGTGTATATTTTGAACGAAGAGAATTCATGCTGTAATTCTGCGCATTTCTGAAACGGTCGATTGTTGTTAATTAATATTTTTATATGACATTGACAATGTTGATACCGACCTTTGAACTTCACCTTGAGTTAATTATCTAGGTCACCACTAGAGGTTAGCGACCTTGCGGTTCACCTCCTCATATTATATTTTCCAAAGTCATCATCAGAGTGCGAGCGACCTTCGAGCTTTACACCTTGACCTACTTTCCACCTGACCTTTGAGCTTTACACACACTCTCCAAAGTAACTACAACTACCAGAAGTGAGCGAATGCCCTTTGAGCATTACCTTGACCTACCTAAAAGTTGACCTTGGAAATTAACTATACTTTCTAAGGTCACCGCCACGTGACACGCGACTTTCATCTTAACCTACTTCCCCAAGTCACCAACAGCTGGCGAGAGACCTTGAATTGAGACAGGTTCGGCCTTACAACCTTGTCAAAATATTTTTTTGGGACAATCCCAAAAGGAGTTATTTCGGTGCCAAATAAGTGCATTTGATGCTATTTATGATGACCTCATGAATTTTGACCAAGGCATGTCAAGGTCCATAGGTACTAACACACTGATTTTATGCGAAAAATGATCAATCGCATTCATTCGATTCCCAAGGTATATTTTAGATGAAAACATATGCTTTTGCTATGATTTATGCACAAATTTTATTGGGGAATCTTTGAAACTTGTAATTTAATGTCAAGAAGTAAAGTTTTGGAACAATAAAATTTACTTACAATTGCAGTTACACTTGTTTCTACTTATACTCCTCGTCCTCTCTACTTTCTCATATCCTCGCCACACAGTCTGCATCTACTATATCCTCTCTCTTTATTTCTTAAACTTCGCTATTATCTTTAAGTGCTTTCATCCTTCTCTTAGGTATTTCAACTCCTTACATTCGTTCTACCGTAAATTCTATATTTTCCTTTTTTGTTGTTGTAAAGCTGCTTGAGACACTTTGGTTCGTTCTTTTTCCACAGTGTCCGCCTTTTATCTCCTTCTCTCTACCTTTGTCCATCCGTATCCGTCTCTTTTGTAATCATAATTCCCTTTCCTTTATCCCTACCTTGGATCATGTTATGAGATTTTGACGATTGACGACCATTAATGATGCACCAAAAAACCCATCGCATTCAGGTTTGTCAGGAATTGATTGAACGTTCAAAAGAAGACCGAAACACTCGATCATTCTTCTTCCCACCCACCTTGGTCACCTAACCTTGCCCCTTGAGACTTCTTCTTGTCCCCGAAACTCAAAAGATCCTTGAAAGGAAGAAGATTTGAGACGATTCCCGAGTATGAAAACAAACGCGACGAAGGAGCTAATTGACATCACAAAAGAGAATTATTTTGGGATAAGTATGTGCGTTGGGGGGAGGAGTACTTGAAAGGGGACTCAGATATGTAACTTCTAAATAAAGTAAAATTTGTTTTATGACGTCGGTCTACGTATACTGCAAATGTTCAATGCCGATTACGATTTGCCAGTGAGTACTATTATGGCACTCGGCTGCGCCTCGTGTGCACCTGCTAGTAATCGTCTACTACCCTCCTAGTTAGGTAATACGCCATTACGTAGGTTTGTGATAGACACATCTCACTACAAAGATGAACTTCCGCACTTAAAATCGGTCCTGGTATTGGGTATAGTCTAATAAAGTTGTAAAAAACGGCATAAAACCAATCCATCGCACCTGTTCCAATTGCAATAAATTTTTGACCAGTACTGACCTACTTATCGTTCCGCTGCCAGAGGCAATTATTAAACGTACCCATACAAAACATATGGCAAATCCGGGCAATTTAAATTTGCATAAGGATACACGCGGCACGCCACACGATTATTCCAGTTACGGGCGCACTGAACTGAAACAAAAACTTGTTAAACCAAATAATATTCCATAATTATAGTGCGATTCGCTTTGCAAATTAAGACATTACACGTCTAATTATATTCGTGTGCAACTAATGGACACCAATAATACGGCTCTGTATTAGGTGAATGGAAATCTAATTATGGACGCTTTCTTACTTTGAAGTAAGTTTTTGGGGAGAAATTTTAGTTGACATTATACGAGGATTGTTTACTACCAGCGATAGACAATGGATAATTTTGAAAACATATCGTAAACTAATCAGAAGTTTGTTGTCACGATTTCCAAGACTGTTTATGTGACGCGCATGAGAATGTTAGTAATAAAGTTAAAAGTGAAATTCTCGGAGATGGTTATTAGTTATAACGATTTCAACAATTCAACAATTTCACGGGCAACTAAAGTGACATTTGAAAATGAAATATTGATAATTGGGAATGCCGAGAGCGTAACATTCTTTGGAATTAAGTGGAATGTCTAAGTCACAATTTGAGGGTCGAGGTGCTTCGGTACTTCATGACTGGCATCTGCACGATGAAGAAAAAGTCTTCACCGCCTTCAACTTGTCGCTCTCCTGGTTAACTCCTTGATTGCCATTCAAACTAATACCCGTAAAGGCACGATAATGAACTTAACACACAAATACAAGAAAGAATGTGTATTAATCTGTATTAATGGCATCCAAATTCTAAGATGTGCTACTCAATAAACTCTATGAGCACTATGAGCAGAATCAGCCCTACCATAGTTGTAGAAGCATAACTGGAAAATATTTGTGTGAAGGTATCTGAATTACAAAAAAAACAACAGAAATTACGGTACCTTTTACTTTTCCGTATTAATTAGGTGTTTCGTCGACCTCCATAAAGTTCGTCCACTAGAGGCTCGTATTGGCTGGTATATGGAGTTTCTGCTGCTACGCGGAGTTGAATATTTATTTATTTATTTATTTATTTATCTCTCTTGTCCAATTACAGAGTGACCCGCATAATGCTTTTTAGAGGTGCCTCTGCAGAAGCTCTTAAATTATACTGTGCTAGTCCGGTATTTACCTTGCAAATTAGGAAAACTACAGGAAAACCTAATTCGGAGTAGTAGAATATTTGACATTCGTTTTCGTTCCAGATCAACTAGACGCAAATTCGTGCGGTAGGCGGTCTCAGTTCTAATGTTCAATTCCGCTGAATTGGAATTACCGAGAAATTGCCGGTACGAATTCGCTAGTAATAAATGAACCTCTATACAGGGTGTTAATTAATGTCATGCAGATATTTCAGGGGGTGATACTCGTCAAAATAAGAAAAAATGCAAATATATGCATGGTCTAAAAGCCGTCGTTTTTGTTATACAGGATGACCAAGAAAGTGCAACACCCTGTATATTGCGACCAACTATTTTGATACTTTATTGTAAGTGATTCTAAAAAATAGTTGATTTATCAAACTTGAAACAATTATCCCAGAACATAAGAGAGAAAACGAAAAATACGAGAGCAAAATTGAAACTTTGCCACCCTGTATATTGTATAACAAAAATGGCGTCTGTTAGACCACACACATATTTGCATTTTTTTCTTATTTTGAATAGTGCTACCACCCCCTGAAATATCTGCATGACATTAATTAACAACCTGTATTTGGAGCGCATTTTCCAACTCATATTGGAAGGCGCTATTATGGCCGTCCGTCTGTCCGCCCGAGGCCTTAACTACTTCTACAGTTTTTAAGATATTTAGTTCGTTCTTTTTGTATTCGGTAGCTAATAGGTCTGCCACCTCAACCAAGAAAAATGTTGACGATTAGTATGCGCATGCGCAAACTGCGCGATGTCAATTTTCTTATTTATGGAGATATTTCTTTAAAATTTTAACCACAGATGCTTCTAGTAAAGACAAGCATATCGCATATTGTAAAAATCGA